ATGTAAAATACGCCAAAATACATTGTCATGTATAACTGAAAAGAATAAAAATTTCTTAAAAAATTAAGAGAAGAGAGATAACAGCATGCCTTAAAAAGCTTTTTTTTTAAAAAAATGTTTTTTTATTTATAGATGGACACAATACCTTTATTTTTATTTATTTTTATATGGTACTGTGGATCAGTTGTATTTCTTCTGTGAAGTGCTTATTCAGTTCCTTCAACCATTTATCGATTGGGTTATTTGTTTTTTGAGATCTTTATATATCCTGGAGATTAATGCTCTGAGGTACAGGTGGCAAAGAGAGAGTAGGCTCTCTCTTCATGTTCTTGACTGTTTCCTTTGTTGTGAAGAAGCTTTTTAGTTTTAATCCATCCCATTTATTGATTCTTGATTTTACTACTTGCGTTGTAGGAGTCTTATTGAGGAATTAAGTTTCTGAGCTGACATGATGAAGATTTGAGCCTACTTTTTCTTCTAGTTAGGTACAGGATCTCTGGTCTAATGCTTAGGTCCTTGATCCACTTTGAGTTGAATTTTTTGCAGGATAAAAGAGAGGGATTTAATTTCATTTTGCTACATATGAATTTCTAGTTTTCCCAGCACCGTTTGTTGAATAGGCTGTCTTTTCTCCAATGTATATTTTTGGCATCTTGGCACCCTTGTCTAGTATGAGATAATTGTATTTATGTGGGAATGTCTCTGTGTCTTCTATTCTGTACCATTGGTCTACATGTCTGTTTTGGTGCCAGTATCATGCCGTTTTTGTTACTGTAGCTCTACAGTATAATTTGCTTCCTGCTTCACTTTTCTCGCCAAGGATTGCTTTGGCTATTCTGGGGCTCTTATTTTTCCAAATGAATTTCATGACCGCTTTTTCTGTTTCTATGAAGAACATCATTGGAATTACATTAAATCTGTATAGCACTTTTGGTAGTATGGCCATTTTGAAAATATTAATTTTTAATATTAAAAACAGAAATGTAGTTTTTCCTGGATATATATCTGCTGAAATGAATTAATGATTTGTGTTCTGCGTATTCATCCAGCAGAAGAAAGTTTCACTGAAAAATGAATTTACCCATAGACTTGTCAGTTTATAAGTAAATACACAATAGAAATTTGAGTGCATATAGTATGCATTACTTTGGCTCAGGTAAATAATGAATCTCTAACCATGTAAATTTTTAAAGCACTGATATTCCAAAACTTGTGTCTTTTGATAAAGAAAAAATTTTTGGCAGATTGTTTGTACAATGCAGTATACATTAAAGTAGCTGGCTATATTATACTTAAACTCAAAATGTCCAATTATGTACATAATATCCTTTTAAAGGCTAAAAAAAGTGTAAAGTAATTAAACATACAGAGCCAGTGGTATTAGTTGAAATTATAGCTAAATGCATGTTAGAAATAATGAAATCAGTGACTAGAGGTTTTGGTTTTTCCCCCCATAGTTGGTTACATCCTTGGACTTGGTGATAGACATGTACAGAATATCTTGATAAATGAGCAGTCAGCAGAACTTGTGCATATAGATTTAGGTAAGTAATAAAGTATACATATTTTTAATTAATAAATATTTAGTCATCAAGCAATGCTGTTTAGCTACCAGGGTACAACAAATATGAGGGAGAAAGATACATAAATGTATCGTGTGTGTGTGTGTGTGTGTGTGTGTGTGTGTGTGTGTGTGTGTTTGTGTTTAAAGCATAAACACTGTGGTGCTGGAAGGAGTAGCTAA